TTGCGTTTTCACTTTAATCTGATAAATACTGGGAAATTTAATTTACTGATGGTGTTCGCCAGTATTCATTTACCAGTGACCACTTTGTGCCCTTTTTCGTGTAGAAGAAAGGGTAGGCGCTTAGTTGGGGTCGGCTGACTGTGCCGCTTTTCCTTGGGGGTTGGAGATTAGTAACCACCTCGGGAAACCCAAATCACTGGTGTTCTTTTCACGTCTAGGTTTATCAAGAGGACGCTTTGTCAAAGATGCAGGGCTCAAGGGATTTTACAGGAAAATAAAACCAATACAAGGCGGTGTGGACTCTGATTACTTTGAAGCAGGGAAGTAACGCCGCTGCCCGACTGATTTCTCTTCTTAATCGTTTGTCGTTAGTGATTTCTTTCAATTAGTGTTTATGCGGGCAACACATCGGTTTCATATGTTATCCTAGTAAATTGACCACTTTTCTTAAATCTTAATTTACAAAAGACAAACGATGAGGAATTTTGCAGCTACATGGTACATTAAATTCACGTCATATTTTAACCGTCGAATATGTTCGCAGTAGATGAATGTGTTTTACAAGAAAGATGTTCAGTTACGGCCGCTTAGGCTACCCAGTTCCAGGGAAATAAATGCGGCAAATCAATTTATTGCTTTTGGTTTATCAAGAGGACCCTTTTTGGGGTCTTCAAATCCAGCTCCGTAGCTCAGTCAAGCGGATGGAATAAAGCCGTCCGTGGACAAACAGGTTTGGCAAATGACTTTTTAAACTTCCATAAATCAGAGACAAAATATGCATTTACACAATCATTTTTTCGTCACTTATGTTAAAAGATCAAAGTTTTAATACCATTAAATTTAATTTTTGAAATATGCTCAACAAGTAGGTAATAATTGCTGTCAAAAGTGGGTTTGCTTCTTTTTGCACCACCTTGCTTGTACTCTATAAGTTCCCTGATTACTTGAACATAGGTTTCCCAGTTATTTTAAAACTTATATCACACCGATTCCCTAGAGCGATACTTCATCGAGCTCAATTCTCAATTTCAATTTCAAATAGCCACCAGAGATTTCATTTAAAGTGCAGTATAATTTAAGCACTCTAACTAAGTCATCCTTATTTCGGTAGATGCGTCTCATGCGGCAATCGGCGTTGTATTGACAAGCACATTCCAGGGGGGGGGGGCATTCATTCATTGATGCTGTTGTCATTCCAATTTTTTGCTGGTCTAAAACGTTACGGTTATAAAACGTTTCCGATTTTTCGGACTTACTTTGAAGGGTAATTAGTCATTTATCACTCAATTTCAAAGTTTGGTCAACCCATTTAAGTACTTGGTCAAGAATATTCGTCAATATTCGTCAATTAAAAACTTGTGTTAAGTAAATTAGACTGGCGTGTGCTTCAGCATTTTTCTTGTGCATACTCCGGCACATTCGCTTGCATGATGTTATCAAACCAAGCAGATGTGCGTAACTCAGAGAGCAGTTATACCAAAAGATACTTGTATATAGTAATATAGATTTTTCCCGGCCAATTTCAGTAAATCTTTCAATTTAACACGAGGCCCATTCAAATTCGTTTTAAAAAACCAATGTTCCATCAGCATTCAAACATAAAGGCGTTCGATTTCGTTATTTTAGCAGTCTTGCGATAAGTTCATTCGAATTCAAATAGTCGTTTCGCTCACTCAAATTCGTCGAAGGCCTCAGAAAGAGGTTTAATCAAGAATTCGATCTAATCAACTGGCAAACAGTTTTTACATATCTGTACCCAAATTGGTTTATGTGTATGCGCTTTCTGCTGATTCGTATCACCTATAATTATAGAGAAAAGAAAAGCACAATTTTGTTTTCATGTTATAACGTTGACCATACCTTTGTTTCTACAAATCTTTGTTAACTTTTAATTAGAAATGGTTCAAATAAATATACACAGAAGTAAAGCAAAATGAATAGCACCAGTCCTGTGCACACAACAAAGTGAGCAAACAATGCTACCTTGATTTCCTATGACTCAAGAGACAGACGTAGACACAAAATAATGATACAAAGGAATTATTCAAAATCAAGACAATGATTATAATTATGGAACAAAACCATCATTCAGAACAACTTACAGGTAAACAAAAATATAGCAATACCTTCAATAATCCATGTCGCATCTAAATTGAACACTGAGAGTTTGAAATAGATTGACTCTAAACAAAAAAAAAAGAAAGAAAAACACACGCAGATAAAAGATCCTGTATATACGCTTCGATGACATTTAATTTGATTGCACCAATTGGAAACGACAGTAGAGATTAAACTAATAAGAATGGTGGGAATGTAGTCTTGAATGGCTATGAACAAAATATAATGACTAAAGCTGACAAAAACAAAATCATGTGTGCACGAAAACGAAATGGAATGCGATCATATAAGAGACCCAAGTATGAACAAAATCGAAAAATCTGCACGAATCTGAATGCGCGTTGATACAAAAATATACATTTTTCTTGCTGAAAGTGGCAGGGAAAACCTATATTATGTAGATCACCAAGAACATCAAAACAAACAATACTTAAGGTTTTCCCGGCTATTTTAAAACTTTTACATTCAATTTTAAAGTTTGGTCGACCCATTTAAGTACTTGGCCAAGAATACTCGTCAGTACAGTTCGAATTCGTGTCAGCTATTGCCGAATGACAGACATCATTCATAGATCGCATTCGTCTTACATCAATCGATTTAAAATTTGTGTTAAGTTAATTAGTCTGGCGGTGTGTGCTTAATTATTTTTCTTGTATCTTTTAGCACAATTCGGAACATTCGTTCGCATGATGTTATATCATACCAAGTAGATGTGCGTAACTCACAGAGCTGTTACCAAACGATACGTGTATAGATATAAGAACAACATAACATCAATTACTTAAACATTTAGAAACAAATTAAACAAGTGTTAAAATAAAAGATGGAAATTTAAAAACTACAATGACACTTAGTTAATTCCCTGCGTAACATTGCGTACTTTTATTTTTTTTTAAGGTAATTTATTATATAGGTTTTCCCGGCTATTTTAAAACATGTTTCATCAAATTCACCAACCCCGACATTTTAATTTCGTCCGAGAAAAAAATTCACACGCTTTTACCTCAATCAATTTAGTCATTTACCATTCATTTTCAAAGTTTGGTCACCTTCTTTAGTCACCGTGTCGAGAATATTCGTCATTGCAGATCAAATTCGTCTAGACTGTTGTGGAATGGCAGCATTCATCCAAGTTTTGGAAAATGCGTCCCACGTGGAGATTGATGTTGAATTGAAAAAATATATATATTATTCTTTTTCGCACTTCGGTCATTCATATTCAGTTCGTGCCTAAATATATAAGACGGAGTTAGAGGGCGGTGGTTTTGTATCGCTTGGATGGGCATGAGTAAACCTTTGGTACATCGTTACTAAATTAATACAACAAAGAACGCCCCGTCTGAGATACCTGCAACGCATTAGGTGTTTTCAAGTTTGCTAAGGAGTCATACATGTTTCATCTGAATCTCATGGTCATCTGAATCAAAGATTCAGAGGGTCAACGAAGGAATATTCAGAATGTTAGATTACCCCTCTTTTAAACTACTAAAGAAAGCAAAAGTGCAAATTATTTCACAGGTTCTACTCAGTCATTAAACAATTCGAGGATATTAGAAATATTTGTCTTTAACGTTTCAACTTGCCATTTACAACATTTAATGACCGAAGCATTTAAACGAAATTATGATTAAAAAAACCGAATTTGTTTTTTCAATTCAATGCCAATTTCCAATAAGACGAATTTTCCTAAACTAGGAAGAATAAGAACGCTCCGTGAATTCCACTGCATAAAAAAATGAAATCCATTGGGGCAGAATTGAAATTGAAATCAGCAATGGAGCCCAACAACATTCTGGAACGAAAATTGAAATACATGTATATATCTTTCTATGGAATTTGAATGATACAAGTGTTAAAGTATTTTCGGAAAATACACATTTACTATGAAAATCAGACGAACATGCATGACTCATTTTTTGCTTGCATTTTCTAGTTCCTTTAAATCAAGTGTTCTTCGTTTATGCATTTATTTTAACACAAATTTACATCGAAATCACGCATGAAAAATAAAATGTGAACTTTTAATCTCCTCCATCGCCATGCGAAGAATGCACGAACTGAATATAATTGATCGACGCGCGAAAATGAAAGATAAAACAAACGAGTTTGCTTTTTCAGTTCAACGCCAATCTCAATATGAGACATATTTCTTTAAAAAACTTGGATGGTTTAGAACGCAACATTCGCAAATCACACTGGATCAAATATAAAATATATAATATGTAGGTGTAAATCCGAAATCGGAATTAACAATGGAGCCCAACAATGTTCTGGAATTCCCATTGAATTTGTGTTAAAAGAGCAGACATATAAAGGAATCATTTTAAATCTGCAGAAAAAAAATGTTCACAAAGGATGAATAGGCTTTTTGAAATTATCCTGTTTTATTTGTTTATCTTGATGAGTTTCTCTTTCGATTTTTGTTTCTGCTTTTGTTTTTCGTTATGATTTTAACTTACGTTTCAGACGTAAAGTGCGTCCAATATTATACTTGTTGTAGGCCTATATGGGACGGAGGTAATAAGTAAAACGACGTGTATTTTTATACACATCATCTGACGTACCGCAGTGATATTTATAACCCCGCCTATTTTATAACTCTTAGGACGTTTCAATTGATTGATCTACGGGATTCAGGTTTTTTTTTCTCCAGTACACGTGGGTGCCTTGTTAGGAAGTCCAAATTAGTGCAAAATAAGGCGTATTATGTACTGTAATTACGTGCAAGACAGTCCTGTATAGCCAGCCCTACACAACTACACGATCTGAGAAAGTGCACAACCGTATTGATTTTTGCGCCACCGGTCGAAGATCTCAGGGTGCATTCTCCCGGGTGATATCATGTGGAATAAATACTTGACGCAGGAAGTCTCAGCCTCTAAAAAGACGTTGAAAGAGTGGCCCACAGACCAGAACTGGACATTATTTATTCATGACATACATTGAGCAAAGTAACTTAACCCGAATCGCCTGTACTATATCCATGTCATTTTTTTGATGCGGATGAGGACGTAAGCAACAAGCAGTTGCTCCATTGATGTTTTGCAAGTAATATTTTGGTTACTCCATCAACATCGTGACCTATTGGTTTTGCAACTTTGCATCGCTATCATCGGCTATGTGAGTTATTATGTTGTGAACAGTTGAAAAGCAGTCGTTATTGGGTGAGTGTGTTTAATACGAGTTTTGTTTTCATAATATTAGCAAGCAAACAGCCTGGAGCCTATATGCATTCTCTGGAAAGCCAAATAGAAAGCGCATGTATATGTATATTTTTGTGCAGGAAACCATCTGTTTGTTTGTACATGCGTTTTGCCCGAATCGAAGGGTTTCTTGTCAAGTTGCTTTAAACAATTTAAGTATTATAAATAATGGAACAAACTTGGTTTGAAAAACAGCACATATGACAGAGAAAACAAGTTTGAAATCATTTCAAGTAACATTATTATCGGATTGAAAATTACTGATATTGGACGAAAGCTCAATGATATATTTAATAACAGCCAGTTTTCACCAAAGAATCAACAGTAAGATAAACTCGTGAATCATGCGTCACGCTGTAGTTTTATAGCACACGTACAAATGTATCGAGGAATTCGTGGCCATAATTCTGTTGAAAACGTTTACTTTCCCGATTACTTCAACACTTCATACAAATCACATGGAAAGATACTCGTCCCAAAACGTCGCTGGGCACCATTTTAATTTTCGATTCCCAATTTACAACAACATAATCGTAAGTGGTGTGGTGTAAATATGTGCCAAGTTTTGGATTTTATTTTTCATTTGGAGATTTCCGTTGAATTGACAAAGACAATGCGTGTCGCATGGCGATGGGGAGATTGAAGCATGTAGTTCAATTTATCAGCTATCAGAAGTTCTTCATTAAGGAGATGAATGATAATACAGGCCTAGGCCTAACAGTAATGCTTTTTCGTCGGTAAAATTTCACACACACGCAGCAAACGATACAATGATTTGGCTGTCTGATGGCCATTGAATCATGGTATCACATCCTCTGTTCGTGGATAAATACTGACTTATTAACCGTATTTCGTATATAGTCCATATTTCATATGGAGTATTTGCTGTGGAATACGTCTATTTAACGCGGGAAAAAGGACACCTGTGCGAATGTGGGTCAGACGCGCTTAGTTACTATACTAATAAATAATGGTATCCAACATGACTGCGACATCGAGTCATCACCGCATCTTTTGGGGTCCATGAATAGAACAGAGAGCGCAGATCAATGATCAACACATCACGGTGTCTCAGTGGTACTACACCAAGGCCGTTCACCCCAGTTTTTTTTACTTGCCATTTTATGAGTCAATGCACAATCCAACAAAAGTAACGACTGTCTATTATCAACCCCTCATCCTGTTTCTGGTATATGGCGCCCCCTTGCGCCCGAGCTCTTTTCCCGGAATAGGCTTGATTCAGCGGTATGATTATGTAGCAAAAAGCGGGCTACCACCATGTAATGTGTTTAAGAAAGAGAGCGGTTTTATAACAATTGCATGAGAGCTTTTTCTAAATGAGAAACAATACCCTTTTTGATACGTCTTGTATTGCGTATCTCTAGTTAAATTCCGTGGATGGACTCGATAAAGGAGAGCGTGTAATAGTTACGGGTGATAGAGCCTGAAAGTTGACCCCTGGTGGCGCGCTTCCGGACCCCTCGAATAGGAAAATTTGCGTGTAAAAGTCGAAGTTTTTGAAGTAAATTTTAATACAACGATTTCTTAAGAAAATCACCCTCAGAAAAGGCCTTTGTAAAATTGGCATCTCAATTTACGGAAACTGAAATTCCAAAGAGTGAGATTACTCCCACAGACTCAGAAACCAGACGTTTTATAGTGACATTCCTTCAATCGTAAAGATCGAGTTTTCACTCGCGCTTCGACTGAAGTGATTATTTTTGTTTGTTAAATGAGAGTGATTTTCACTCTAAATCGTCAAGTCCCTGATTTCACTCTTTGGGATTTAGAGAGTGAAAATCGCATGACGTGAAAATGAAATATCGTGCAAATCTAAAATCGTGAAAATCTAAAATACCGTGGCTCGTGGAACTCGGAGCACTCATACAAGATGAAAATTTATGAATTAGTTTGTTGCGGTCATTGAGTAAAAACTGAAACTAAAACAGGAGCCTAAAATATCTTTTGAGACACACAATTTTTGTGGGAATAAACTTGCGCCACCTTTTGGAATAAAATAGCGCCACTTTCGAGTCCAATTGCACAAACCTATGGAGAGCTAGACATTTTGTACGTCTTTCATATTGTACGTCTTAAAAGCCAAATCAGGAAAGCCGATAGAAGTGAAATCGGGACGGTGAAATTTATATTTTGCAACGGGCAAACAAAACCACAGATAGGGAAACGAGATGGCTAAAGCGTATGCGAAGTGGTTTTTTTTTTTTTTTTTAAATCTAATTAACCCTCAAGTTTATTGACATGTGCTCTACCCAAGTTGTTAAACATTGTGAGATTCTTGCGCCTTCTTGAAGAGTTTGAGATGCTGGATACGCCACTATAGGAGAGCACAATAATACACATTTACTTGTTCTATTTTTTTTTTGGTGAAGAGCTGGGGGAGGGGCGGGCATCTCCCAGTATCCAAAAGTACCGTCTGATAACGACGTATGTCATGTCCTTAGCGGACGATGGAGACAAATGGTTCTGGGCAATGTCCCTTAAAAACCGCCATGAATTTAAATTTAAGGACAACGCAACAACTACGAAAAAAAGACGTTCAAAATGGTCATCATTCTGTAAGTTGATGAAGGCCAGGGGGCTATGTTGTACTCTGTTTTAATTCTAAGGCAACTTTTAGCGCTCAAACAATTAGACTTGAAGACAAGTCGTTAGATAGTCGTATTTTGTCCCTGAACTTCAGTCGAACTCCATCGGCACGGCTGGTATAAGACTAGTAAATAATGTCTGTCTGTGGGTTCAATACAAGTTGCGGTTGCGACATATCTAATGTCTTGACGATTACGTTCTTGCACCGTTAATGCGTGCAGCAAATGAGAATTCATTCATTCCGTTGCATGGGGAGTTCTTCTCAATGCGTCGGGGGCATGTTTGCAGATCTGCAGCGCGGGCGACGTTTTAACGACCAATACATTCAGCTACGTCAATTGTGTATTGAAATAAAATGTATCATTATGATATACTTGATTTATTTGAATCGTGCATGTCCTATAATGATTTTTGTGATGTTACACAACACAAAGTGCAAACTCTCAAAGAATGATCCTCCGTGGCGGCCTAGAATACGCACTGGAATTTAAACCAATGAGTGCTCGCATAGAATTCGCTAGCGATTCAAAATACTCCCGTATGTTGTATACAAAATATTGAAAACGTATTCGCCAAAGTCGGTAATTGAACATCAATAGTCAGCATCATTTGGTCTGGGAACCAGACTACCGCATTGCATGCAGCGATATATATTTTGCGTGCGTGGAGCCAGTATTACGGTACACAAAACAATTACCGACTTTGCGTTCGCGTTACAAGTGATATTATAGTTGAGTTATAATGTTAACCATAGTCATCCCTCAACGTGCTCATATCTGAAACAATATACATTGTGTTATAGTCTAATGACCTCAAAAAGAAAAAAATCAATGTGATGACATCGGTTTATGAATTGATCTCAATATAACGAAAGCACCTAGACCTATTGATTTCAAGTAAAAGGTCAATAATGGGATTAATAGCTCAGATTATTATCATATAAAAGTTGAAAGATCTGCTTCGCTATTTTTCATGTCTTACAGATACAGCGATACAGGCGATTGTTGCTAAGAGCTGTGAGGGAGTTAGTATGGAGGCAGTAGTACATCTAGCTTCCTCGGACCAAATGAACCAAGACGATTCTTTGTTGGCTGGTTATTACACCGAAATAAGCACTGATATTACATGGGATGAAAACACTGCAACCGAACATCTTCTGTTTGACGACTGGAACGCTACCGTCACATCAACGACGGATGCTCCGGAAGGCAATGTTAATATTACGCGGGTACTACTTGCGAGTATAGCCTTGCTGATCATTAACTTAGCAGTTATAATTGGAAATATTCTGGTATTGTTGGCTGTATATTGCGAGCGAGCTCTTCGAACGGTGACCAACTATTTCATCGTCAATTTAGCGATAGCCGATCTACTTCTTGGAACTTTAGTATTACCATTCTCAGGTGCCTTCGAAGTCATACACTATTGGCCTTTTGGAGGAGCATTTTGTGATATTTGGGCAGCTGTGGATGTTTTGTGTTGCACTGCGTCAATAAACAGTCTGTGCTGCATTAGCGTCGATCGTTATATTGGAGTTACAAAACCATTAAAGCACCGACTAATAATGACACCAAGACGAGCTGTAATGCTCAATATTTTCGTTTGGTTAATATCTTTTGGAATTGCCGTCGGACCATTGTTTGGATGGAGACCCGTAAAAACATCAGACATGGAGTGCCCATTATCGGACTCTATCGGATATGTATTTTTCTCAGTAGCGGGCTCATTTTACATTCCTTCAACTATCATACTCATTCTTTACTTTCGAATTTACCGAGCGGTGTCACGGGAAACCAAAACTATACAAGCTAGGTCTCGAAGACGATATGGCGATACTGAAAATGGGCATGCAAGACATGTCATTCTTCGCATTCATGTTGGTAATAAAAGACACTCTGGTGAGAATTGTAATCGCCGATCAGACGGTTTGTCTTCGGGTTCATCCAGATCCAGGAATCTCTCGCAAAGAACTGCAACGTTCAACAGAGAAAAGAAAGTTGCCAAAACCCTTGGCATTGTTGTTGGTGTCTTCATCATTTGCTGGTTGCCATTTTTCTTTTTTCTACCACTAAGTAAGTATATGTATATTGTTTTTATATGAGGAAGTGTAACAATGTTCCAAGTCATTTTAACAATTATTCATAAATACCTAAGACAGTTTACGCATTCCTATTGGTCGAGAGCCCGTCACGTGGCCGGTCTTAAACGGATGATAAAGACATGGCTAGCTGGTCTTAAACACTTTTCCAGTGTCACAATAAAATGTGGACTCCTAAAAATCCAGTGCCTCTTACCGTTTCATTGGTTGAACGCTCACAATCCTCACGTAGGCATGCGCAACACTACCAGGGAGTCAGAATTTTATAGTTCTAAATTCAAAACGCAACGCGCCAGGTGCGTTCCGCGCGACATCGCGCAGAACATGATACGCGCGCGTCAGTCTCCATAAAAGGGTTGTTTACATCTTACTCGCCAGCTGAACACTCCATTATTTTGCAAGAGAGATGTTTCAAAAAGCATAAAGTGAATTTGTTGAACAAAATCGGGAAGTTTTGAACGAATTGTATTTTTTTTTACCGAAAGGGTATTTATGAATGGGAATAAATATGTGCTCCGTCGGTATTTATCACTCTGTTTAAGACCACTTAGAGTCTGGGTGCTGATAATTACCCTCGCCTCGGGCTTGGGTAATTATCAGCACCCAGACTCTAAGTGGTCTTAAACAGAGTGATAAAAACCTCCGGAGCACACATTTATTCCCTTAATAAAAACAAGGTTCAATAGTCCGAAGGTAAATTAATCTGAAAGCACACAAGGTTTAATTGTACAAATGGTTAATAAGGTTAAATGTTGTCATTCGGAACCGTCACGGTATTGTCGATTGGGACTATCGAACTTTATCGTCTATTCGGACTATATCCAAAACCTTCGGATTGAACCTTCGGACTAACAAACCTTGGGACTATCGAACCTTCGGACCGATGAACCTTCAGACTATCGAACCTTAGAGCAGTCAACAGGGTTGTAACTTTGTATGCGCAAGAAATAAATTAAATCACTACGGTGTTATCTTAATTTGATAACTGCAGGCTTTCCTGTCGGCCATAAGACTGAGCGGTTGTAGTTCTCAGTCATCATGAGCGCCAGATCGTATTTAAAACTATACATGAGCATTTCGTGAGATAAAAAACTATGCGGGTAAATTCACGTCGGTATATGGGCTCCGTGCACCCCTTCAAAGGCCAGAAAAGAAGAGTTGGGGGACCTAGACTGGTTCCCGGTCCAACCACTGCGTATTTCGAATGATCCAAAGTTATTGAGGGCGGGGATTAGTCTTGGAGACCGTCGCATCTGAAAATTCATGCGTATGTAACGTGATAGAAATAGTTAACCAGTCTAACTAACAAGTGACAGGGCCTACTGTTTAAACATGGTTTATAACATTTCGCACCACTGCAGTGTAGCTTGTTAATTTAAGAATAACCGGTAATAGAGCAAGTAAGTGGACCTCAAAATCCTGCAAGATTTTACAAAAATACAGCACATCCGAACTACAACGTGTGTAACGTCGTATTTTTTACATTTTATTTTGTGTCCTGACTGGGCACATCCAATCAATTGCAATAAATGGGTATTTTGAAAGAAAACAAGGCTTTACAATTTACAACATACCGAAAATGTTACGAATTGATGTCTTGAACTTCCGTTCAATCGACCACACTAATAGTCTGGTTCCCAGACCAAAATATTCTGACTATTTCTGAAAACTTTTGGTCAGGTATAGCCACCAAGGCTTAAACAAAATATGATGGCCCTTTCTCAAATATCGGCTTTGTTTCCGGTTTGGCTTTATCATTAAAAGCCTTTAATGTTCCGATCCAAAAAAAAATCGGTCGCTTCATAATATACAGTTTGATATTTCTGACTGATGTTGAGCTAAAATCTTCAAAGTTAGGGACCCAAATATCAGGCAATGCCGAAATGGAGACGAAGCCGAGTTTGAAAAACCCCTAGGTAACCGTCGTCAGATTCATGATACTACGCAGCAAAGCTCACCCCTCGTACGATCCGAGTGCATTATTTGAAACACAAAGTCGTCATTATATATTATTTCAAGTTTTTATATTAAAGCAATGCAAATATGAACTCATTTTTTTTTACCGCTATAAGGGTGCAGACCAGTAAATCGGTCCGAAATTGCCTACGCCGGCCAAATCACGATTTGCATGCCCTCAAAATCTTCAGTATTTGAGCATGCTGTGGGCCATGAACTTGAGGGTTTGTAAAAAATATGGGTGGAAGCCGTGCACGGGACTGGGAGCTTACAGTTCTGTGTAATTTGGATGTAATTTCGACCCTAAAAGCGCTCTATTTTGCAATGGAGTGTAGGCATCGTTTTTCAAAATGGCGATGGGCTTCAGGACTATTTTCAGGGGTGAACATTTTCAGATGGAAATTTCTCCTAAAAGTCATCAGTTGACCCCCCGAAAATTGAAAAGAAAATGAAAGATGATGAAATAAGCTTTAATTTGATGTGTGTCTCGAACACCTTGGAGAGTTGTGAGTATTTTTCCCGAATTTCTGAAGTGGGAGCATTTACCATTGGGGTCTATGGAAGTTTATTTACTGGTCTGCTACCATAAAAGCAGGATTCTGCCCCTTTTTGGTCGAGTCTATTTTGTTTAGCCCTAGAGCGAGGTTATCTGACCGAAGATTTGTCAGAAATGATCATGATAGTCTTTTGGTCTGGAAAGCAGTCTATCACACATATGACAATTGGGTCAATTCCAACACGGAGTCTGTTACTAGACTTGCCAGAGTTTGATATCCAGACGTTCACATAAAAAAGGGAACGTGGACTGGCGAGACTTGCTCGTTTTATAATGCACAGGCAGTAAACCTAAAGATTACGTTATTTAATGCGTACCTTGTTTTATCTTTTTTTTCCCCCTTTTCCCCCTAGCCTCTGTATGTCAAAGTTGCAAGCTTCCAGATGTTGTCTTCACATTCTTCTTCTGGCTCGGGTACTGCAACAGTTGTGTCAATCCAGTTATATACGCCATGTCCAACCTTACATTCCGTAAAGCTTTTCGGAAGATTATCACATGTTGGTATTGTAAAGACCATCGTGGCTTACGGAGGACATTGGGTTCAAGGCGATCCTCAAATGTGTCTCGTCTTACTTCAAGCACGCCAATGTCAAGTCCCATGGTCATGAGCCGTGTTAAGCGACTTACTTCAAATACACCAAGTAATTTGTCTATGTTCCGGAGAAAACCAACATCAACGAGGACCTCACAGCTGACAAATAGCAAGCAACACCCCATGCCGGATTATCGGACATGCGAGGCAGACATTAATCAATCGAATGTAAATAAAGTGTTTTGTGATAAACTTAAAAATGAAAGATGTGGAATGTCGACTTTTGACATTGAGTCAACAACTGATGATAAGAGCAGTTTCAGAGAAGATAAGCAAAGTAAACCGCAGGATGCTAATCAAACCACGAACTCTGATGATTACGGGCATTTTCAAGTAGATCTTAATAACAGTGTTAGCTTATCGGACAATAGCAATAATAATTCTAAGGGCTTTCATGAGCCACTCGCACATTCATTTTGCAGTGATAACCAATCCCAGTGTTCTAAGACAGATCTGAGCACAGTGGTCAGTTTCAAACATTTAACTGACACGCACTTGTCAAATGGCATATACGATTCCAGGGAGACACCTGTTTGATGTTAAGTCGTGTTTTGTTAGACTATAGGTGCCCTAAAAAGGCACTATATTTAGTAAAAGGTAAGTGAATGCTTCCATTTCTGATGTTACGAAGTCATTTAGATCCAAGTGGACAACATAACAGACAAAACCCCCTAAAAATGGGAAAGAAACGCCGAAATGAACGGAGATTGGAATCAAGGAGTTTTAGCAAAATAAAATTATAATTATTTTAATAATTTACAATTCACAAATAAATACACACTAATCAGTTTAGATAAACAGATGGGAAACGAAGTAAATTATTACATCATAAATCATAATTATGACTCATACGGATCAGCCATTTTGTCATCGTGGCGGTACGGATAGGGCCTGTGCGACAGATCGAAAGTCGCGAAAGTTCTTGCTGATTACACCAGGTATATTGAAAGAGCGAGATTGACACTAACTGAATACCCTTCTAGAGTCTTCCGTGAGGGTACAGCCTCCGGACACCGAATCATATTTCAGGAATTTTTTACTTAAGGAGTTAATCTCGCAGAAGCCCCGCGACATTTTTTTTTTATACAAACCATACAACATATTTATGAAAGTTTACTATATGGTATTATCGACCTGTGTCAGGCTTTGGCTTTTTCACCGTCCCATGGTCCATGTAGATGTTATTAAGTTCGTATATCTATAAAACATGTCAGTGCCTTTTGGGTGTTTTATCACGTGTTGTCAAAATTTGAAGTATACAGTGTTTAAACGTCGGTGAAGGGCAAAACCTAATTTGAAAATTTGACGGGATAACATATATTATTATTGTTGTTAAAATAGTACGTGTTGTCAAAAATTTGAAGAGATAATTATATAATATTTGATGACTTTGAGGGGGATACACGAATATATTGAATTATGATTGTCTTATTTTCTCTATCACGGAAAAAAAAATCGCCTTTGTCTCTCTTTGTGATATCTTCGAGTTTGACGTGTCCTCCGAAGGATTGCCTCCATTTTGATTGAAATCCTTCATTGTAAAAACGTTGGGCAAAATGGGTTGATATGTAGACCAACGTTGGTCAGCTTATCAATAGGTTAAACTCTTGGGCAATTTCTTCCCAATAGTTGGACGATGTTTACCCAAATGAGTTGAACCAGAGTTGAAACGAGTCACTGACTTTTGTGACTCGAGTCGAGTAGAGTCATTTTAAAGAAGTGACTTGAGTCGAGTCGAGTCATTAGGTCAAGAAGGTCGAGTCGAGTCGAGTCACAGTGTGTAGTCGAGTCGAGTCAAATATTTAGTTCGAGTCAATTCGAGTCACGAATATTTGAACACTTTCATAACAAATAAAGACAAGAGAGAAATTAATTTGTATCACTAACAGTTAACAAGAAGTATGTCTCATCACGACAAGCGTATTGTATTCGCAAAGTGACGCGAACATATTTCGCACTGTAAGTCATTGCAAATATTTTTTTCGCAAAGTGTTGCTTTTAGTTTTGGGACTCGAGTCTTATGAGCCTTCGCTAGAGTCAAGTCTTCTGGTGAGGGACTCGAGTCGAGTCGAGTCATTTGCTCGCAGTGACTCGAGTCATTTACCCATAGGGACTGGAGTCGAGTCGAGTCACAAAGAATGTGACTCGAGTCGGACTCGAGTCGAGTCATTACAACTCTGCTTTTGACTTGCTTATATAGCTTTAAACGAAAACCTTGCTTAACGGTTGCTATGAAATGAAAAATCTGCTTGGCGCGCCCTTTAGAGGTTTAAAAGTGGACATCTGCTTTCTGCTAACAGAATAGCAGAAAAGCAGATTGTACGTGTTTGTAAAATGCATTTTTCTACTATTCCGCTTTTCTGCTACCAGAAAAGCAGGTTTTACTTTTTACCCTTATATACACTAGGCGGTTCAAAAGTGGACATCTGCTTTTTCGCTTTAGAACTACTAGAAAGTTCTTTTTCTTTCCTGCTTTCCGAGAGGGCAGATCGAGCGTTGTGGCAATGGCGGTTCGAAAGTGGCCATGTTTCTTGTTTGGTTTAAAAACCTCTTTATGGGTATAAAATTGTGTAAAAGTTAAGAACAGGGTGGATTGGTGTCAAATGGAGGCATTTACCTTTCCCTTGGGCCATGACATGAATTTTACCTGGACTGTCTCTCGTTTTGTGGAACTATCTACTCCTCTTTAATGTATGAAAACTATTTGAAATCCTTTTTGGGGTAATTTTATTTTAAAACGCACTTGATTAAACATTTCAAATTTGCCATGTTTTTTTATGACAAATGAGGGCGCTGTTGCTGTGATGTCAGTTTAGGAAGACACTGCTCAGTTTAGGGGTTTCCTGTTTAAATAGTGAACCTAAAAATTGTTCATTGAAACATTCTCCAAGTCGGGACCCTATACACCCTGTTTTTATTTTGACGTCCCCTCCGTAGGTAAACTATTGAAATTTGCAAAAATAATTGTACCAAGCATAGAAAAAAAAACAGTAGGCATATATAAACGCCATGTGCAGCCGTAGCGATAAAAAAAAAGTGAAGAATACCGTTAATATCGCCCTATATTGGCCACTTGCAATTCTAATAATTATTTATATATCACTGGTAATATTATACGACAATAACTGGGAGTATTTTTTCCTGTCATTTTCTATTTTTCTAGAATTAAAAGAGGGATTAGAATTATTTCCTAACCCCATCCCATTTTAGTCGAGAAGGTCATATATACTGTTGTCAGCAATTTGATTTGGTTTGCACGGCCGGAGAAGCATCGGACCCAGAAGCCTCCATCAAAGACATTTGTCTTCCAATATGGTTTATAATTTGTCTTGGGAGATACTTCTCGGTTAGTTCGTGTATCCTGATCTCCACGAGTGTGACGGGGTGTCAATCCACTGACTCGTATGTTGCTTGTGGATTGGATGGAGATTCTACGGTGGCTCGTATTCGCCAATTTGTTTCGCACCTCTATTTTTCCGTACTATATCACCGTTATATCACCGTACTATTGCTTTATATTGCCATATTATACAACACCTAAATAAATCCCCGTCATATGATTGGTGGATCGTTGATCACATGTCATTGAATTATTCGTACCAATGCACGGCGCGCGCGTGGCGCGCAGCGCACAGTGCAATGGAAGTACTATTGCACTGTGATTAGAAGTACCATTGCACTGTCACTGCACGTTGCCGAAGGTGGCGCTGTGGTGTTTAAATTGGCAATAAAAGTTCTGGACTTATTAAACTGTTAAAGTTCTTAAGTTATGGAGAAGTTTTAAATTGAGATAAATTGAATATGATAGTTCTCAACCTGTTGAACAGTTTGCATAAATAAAATATGATTACTCTGAACTTGTCAAACTTGTAAACGATTTTTAACTTGAATAAATAAGCTATTAAAAGCAAACCAATCAGATGACGAGGATTTATTCAGGTGTTATATAAAACAAATAATGAATGTTTCACGTTCGTGCAATAGAAAGAATAATTTCATTCGGTGACATATGAAATGTTCCATTCCACTCGGCTTCGCCTCGTGGAATGGAACATTTCATCTGTCACCTCATGAAATTATTCTTACCATTGCACTCACAAACATTCATTATTTGTATACTATCGCGTGTTATACAACACCTGAATAAATCCCCGTCATCTGATTGGTGGATCATTGATCACATGTTATTGAATTAATTCGTCCCAACGCACGGCGCGCTCGGCGCGCAGCGCACAGTGCAATGGAAGTTCCATTGCACGGTGAATAGAACTTCCATTGCACGGTGTCATCGCTGCTGGCGGTGGCGCTGTTTTAAATCGAGGTTACTTGAATATGATGGTTCTCAACCTGTTGAACAGTTTGCATAAAATAAACATGATGAACTTCCTTGTCAAACTTTCAAACAGTTTTTAACCTGAATAAATTGGCTATTAAAAGTCAACCAATCAGATGACAAGGATTTTATTCAGGTTTTATATAAAACAAATAATGAATGTTTCACGTTCGTGCAATGGAAAGAATAATTTCATTCGGTGACAGATGAAATGTTCCATTCCACTCGGCTTCGCCTCGTGGAATGGAGAACATTTCATGTCACCTCATGAAATTACTCTTACCATTGCACTCACAAACATTCATTATTTGTGTAATATCGCCATACTTATTGCGTTTTATACAACACTTGAATAAATCCCCGTCATCTGATTAATGGATCGGTGATCACATGTCATTGAATTATTCGTACCGACGCACGGCGCGCGCGTGGCGCGAAGCGCACAGTGCAAATGAAGTTCTATTGCACGGTGATAGAACTTCCATTGCACAGTGTCACTGCTGCTGGTGGTGGCGCAGTTTTAAAGATATAGTCCATCATTTGTAATTTGTGCATTTTGTTCGTTTGAAGCAACAAAAGTGTTCAAAATCTAATGAAGGATACTGAACAACTAATCTGATGAAGTTTCAGTTCAGCTTCAGCTGTATATTTCGAGAAAAACAGCATTCTAGGATCTCAATTTCAATTCAAAAGTTGCTGAATCATGTTTTGAATTGTTTTGAATTGCAGCTTTACGCGATGTTGAGCACTGATCCGACGAATTATAGCAACCGCGCGCGCCTGTGCGTCGTGCCATTGCACGGTACAGAACTTCCATTGCACGGTGTCACTGCTGCTGGTGATGGCGCTGTTAAATCGAATATGATGGTTCTCAACCTGTTGAATTGTTTGCATAAATTAAATAGGATGAACTTGTCGAACTTTTAAACAGTTTTTAACCTGAATAAATTGGCTATTAAAAGTCAAACAATCAGATGACAAGGATTTATTCAGGTGTTATATAAAACATACGGAATGTTTCACGTTCGTGCAGTGGAAAGAATAATTTCATTCGGTGACAGATGAAATGTTCCATTCCACTCGGCTTCGCCTCGTTGAATGGAACATTTCATCTGTCACCTCATGAAATTATTCTTACCACTGCACTCACAAACATTTATTATTTGTATAATATCGCCCTACTATTGCGGTATATCGCCGTACTATTGCGTTATATCGCCGTATTTTATTGCGTTATATTGCCGTATTTAATTGAGTTATATCGCCGTATTTTATTGCCTTATATCGCCGTATTTATTTACTTATATCACCATACTTTTGCGCTATATCACCGAACTATTAGGCCTAGTCCTTAAATTTAAATACAAACAAACAGCCCATTATTTTAGTCAGGGGGTTGACCACGGAAGCGTACATTGGGCCAAAAAAAGTCTCCGGTTTCTGGTCTGCGCGCGCGTCGCCGTAGCCACGCGCGTCGGCAAAATTAAAAAGTATTTTTTTTTCAATGTAAGATGATGTCTCAAAACCGCCAAACTCACTGGTTTGATTGGTATCCTGCTGCTGCACAATTTTAACGTGTTTTTAGATGGTGTTACGATCGAGTATAAGTTTTATGTGGCCTCTCTAGCTCTGTGCTCCCATATATTTTGCACTAAATTTAGTCGGGCACCATTTGCAGACGATGTTATAACTTTGTAATTGTGCGTCTGGAAGTCAGACTGAGGGAGCGATGGTCGTGTATCTGGAACCTGTAAACACTTTCAATTAGCGCAATATGTAAGGGAACAGACTAATGACCAGCCTGGCAGCTCATGCACGATGTTGATGTCGTTGTATGGTCTGACGTTACCGTTTTCTCTAATCCAAATTTCCCAAAGGATATTCGTGTCGTTCGAGATCGTAAGTGGGTGCAAAATTCTCAAGCCATATGGCCTTACTGAGGTCACCTCAAGCCCCAATCTGAGAGTTTTAAGGGGATTGAAGCATCATCTGCAACATCAGCCGCTATTTGAAGAGAAACAAAAAGTTGGGGGGAAAAAGCGGGTCGCCGCACCACTTTTGGGGCAAGCTTCATACCAGAAACTGGAGACTTTTTGGGGGGTCTCAGGGTCCACAGAAAATGGTTTTGCCTTTTCTTATCATTTGAACTTTGTAGATCAGGATTCCGGCGGGTGTCACCTTTGCACCCTTGAGCATTTTTGTTTAAATCAATTAATATGCAAATTAGTTATCAACATTATTTTAAATGTAAGTTTTGTTCAGGATCTCGTCCATCTTACCAATGAAGGTGTCTAGACATGCATGTTTGGGGGTCAAATAATTTATTAAGGCAATTACAACGATAATTCGTGTATTTTATCCATAATAATTATGCAAAATAGCATTCTCTATTATCAACAAATAACTTGTATGTATATCTC